ACAAAAGCAATTCAGCTTTGACTAACATGTCCCTGGTAATCAAACTTCAGTCTTTAACATCACATATTTCCTGAATGTTTTAGTATGTAACTTAATATTCAGGGTTTTTTTTTCCAATATAAGCTTATATCTTTATGATCTTTGTCAGTTTTTACTCTTGGAAGTACTGAGTTTGAAAACATACTTGAATTCCAGTCACTTGTTTTTGTGTATAGAAGTATAAGAGGGAAAAGGTTGGTCTTCAAAACCCATTTCAATGCCCAGCTGATATACAAAATCACTTCTATTTCATTATCCTTATAGTGTACCCTCACTGCACCTTGACAATAACATATAAGACACCATCAATGGCATCACTCTTTGAAAGGGAGTATAGCACTGTTGTCAACAACCAGAGTCAAGCATAGGTCTGCATTTATAGAAGGCTCCTTCATCAGTTTTGGATGCTGGGGTCTTTATTCTCTTATTTCCTCTTTTCTAACATAGTGGCAAAAAGAATTACTCAGTAATTTTTAGACACAATAAAGACTCATTAGTAAAACTTCTTTTCAAATATTTCAATAAACTGCCAGGCATGGTGGCACATGCTTTTAATTCCAGCACTTGAAAGGCAGATGAAGGTGGATCTCAGTGAGTTCGAGGCCAGTCTGGTCTACATAGCGAGTTCCAGGTCAGCTGGAGCTGCAGGGAGACCTTGTCTCCAAAAAAAAAAAAAAAAAAGACCAAATGTTTCAATAAACTAAAAATCATTTTTGTTTAGATTTGTACTCTATATATTTCACAAAGAAAAATTAAAAAAGGATCCTGTGTAGTTTATTTGGGCAAAAGATAGAACATTTCAAAGCAATAAGTACTAAAGAACAGTCTTAAGTCATAAAGCTGTAGCTCCATTTGGGATGTATTATGTATACACACCTATCTATTTTGTTAACTTTTGAGAAAAAAAAATGATTTCATGCTGAATGTCTGACTACATTAAAATGGGGCTACAATGAGAAAGCATTGACCAGGGTGATGCCCTGATGGGAACCATAGCACTGCTTACTGTATCTGCAGTTTACAGAATATACAGGTCCCAGGCCTTACAAACAGCACACTGAACAACTACTCATGAGCTAACATCACTGAAGGCACTGAAGTGGACTTACAGCACGGAGTGGAGAAAGCCCAGGAACACATAACACATGATACAAATCAACACAGCATCTTTCTTTAGAAAGACAAAATGGAAAAAACAACCAACGAGCAAATTTTACCTTCTCTCAATTCTAGGAGATGAAGAAATACAGATATAAACAGATAAACCACTTAGTGAGATTTACATTCCCTAACCTTACACTTCAACTGTGACTTCTACATTCTAGATAATACTAGATAAATTATTAGTCTATCTAAGTGCAATTGACTTTGTACAGAGTAATGATGACATAATAAATAAATTTCTTCAGAGTTTTCTCTTTGAAACAAAGATATACATCATCTCAACCATTGTGAGAAAAATTGACAACTACTACCATTATAGCAATTAGACTGGTTTTTAAAATCAATTATAATACTTCAATTTAGAATCTACTTCCTCCAAAAAAGAAAATAGTAATGATAATAATAACAATAACAATAACAATAATAATAAAGAGTGGACTCTGTAAAATACTAACCTTTTGGAAAGACCATAAAATGATCTTATATAAGACTATATATTAAAAATAATTTTTAGTGGAGACAGTATAAATGTCTCATTAGATGGAAAGAATGTAAGAGTCAGAAGACAGAGAAAAGGGCTGCAAAATGCCATCTTCTAGGTAAGACAAGGCTATTGCAATCGGTAATTCACAGCAGTTGAAGGTGCCTTTCTGGGGTCTGCAAAGCAATGGGCCTATCCAGCCATGGATGGAGGATGAACTCAGGGAACCCCACCCCTCACTGCTGAGGAGGAAACATTGCCTTCAATTCTGTACCCACTGGTGACCCCACTAGACTCTGATGGATAGTTCCAATCCAGTGGTCACACAGATGGCCTGGTTAAAATAAATGGGTCACAAATGAAAACCAAAAGTTATGAATCTGGGAAAGGAACTGATAGAAGGAAAGGGAGTTAATGGCAATGGAAGAGGAATAAGAGAGGGTGCAGAAGACAGTAATCAGAATGCATTGTATTCATGTATGAAATTATCGAAGTACAAAATTAAAAATTTAATTTGTAAAACTTCCATTATCTCCTTGGCATACATATATATATATTTTAATTGGTGTGTACATGGGGGGGCGCATCATACCACTGCACCCATGTGTAGACCAGAGGAAAACTTCTTGGAGTTAGTTTTCTCCTTCCACTATAGGATCTAGGGATTCAGTAGTGAGTGTTCTTACTCTCTGAGCCATCTGACCAACCCACTGTGGCAGTTATTTAAACATCTAGAGAATGTCCAAATATAAACACATTAAAGACCTTTACAAGCAAAGGATGTAACAGTTTGGAACTTTAAAAAAAAATTAAAAAAATATATTTTATTATTTTTATTTCATGTGTATGAGTGTTATGCCTGCATGTAGGTAAATGCACCTATGTCGTGAAATGTCCACAGAGGACAGAAGAGGCTATCGTATCCACTGGAACTGGAGTTATGGACAGCTGTTAGCTGCCATGTGGGTGCTGGGATTCAAACCCGGGTCTTCTGCAAGATCAGTCACTATTCTTAACCACTGAGCCATCTCTCCAGCCCACAGTTTGGACCTTGAATGTTCCCAAAGGCCATGTGTTGAGGCTTGGCCCCAGTCCACAGTGCTGATGGGAAGGGAACCTTTAGGAGTGGGGCTTAATGAAGAAAGTTGGATCATTGGGGCATCTCCTTGAAGAGCAAAGCAGAATCACAGTCACTTCCTGTCTCTTCCTTGGGGTCTATCCTGCTGTGAGATCAGAGGTTTCCCACAAATTCCCACCATAATAGACCGTGTCATCACAAGCCAAAAGTAACAGGACTGGGAGACGTTCGACTGAAACCTTACAAACTATAAACCCAAATAAGCCGCTCCTCCTTTTAATTGACTATTTCAAGTATTTTGCCACAGCAATGATGAGCACAGAAGTACTTTTATTTAAATAATGATTACAATAAATTAAACATTTTCAAAGTAATTCCCAGAGAATCTAGTGTTCTAACTTGAAAGATTTATATGTTGATAGAAAGCAAAACAAAACAAAAATGTGTGCTCTGATTTTTCCTTTTGTACTCAGGGGTTTCTATATATGATACACCCAAGTTGAACAATACATAAAAAATAGCTACAATAATACAGAAAAATTGCTATTTACTGAGTTGTTATGATAAGCAAAAAAATGAAGCACGTACTGGTCTTATGGTATGAATCTTACATTTTCTTCCTGAAGAACCTGTGCTAAGGATTGGTCCCCAGTGCAGCAGTGTTCAGAAATGGGGTGTGTTCAGAAATGGGGTCTTTGAGAGACAGATCCTGAGGGCTCTGACTTCATCACTGGATCAACATATTAAAAGATTCATAGCTTACTGATTATCAGGAGGGTGGTAGAAACTTTAGGGAAGTAGAGTCTATTTAGAGGAAGTGTTAACTGGGGGTGTGCCACTGTAGCCACCCTGGACCCCAGGACCTCTTTCGTAACTGTCTCTGCAGGGTACACTATGACCCCAATACCTCCTTTATAACTGTTTCTTTGCTTCCTGGCTGCCATGAGGTAAACATCTCTGCTTTACCACAGGTTCCCCTCCATGATGTTCTGCTTCATCACATGCCTAGAAACAATGCAGTCAAGTGACCATGTATTAGCCTGAAGCTATTAGCCTAAATAATCTTTCCTATCTGAGGATGATTTTCTTAGGCATTTAGTCACAGCTATTCAATAGCCTTTCAAAACCAGGGTAACTTGAGAAGACTTACTTTTGATCATATATTGATGCTATTCTTCTGTGAACTAAATAAATAATACAACTTATTTTGACATTTAATTGTATTCTCTTGCTAAAACAAAGATATGTATTATTTTAAATTTAAGCTTGGAAAGTATGACACCTAGTGGAAGTAGGGTAATTATCCTGCTTCTCACATAAGGGTCTGGTCTAGTACAAAAATTAACAGTTATCTTTAGACCCTAAAAATAAAGAGGGAGAAAGGGAAAGAGACAATGTAGAAGGTGAATTTCATTAATGTCTACACAATTATGTTATTATACATAAAGTTCTTTATTTAAAACTTCTAAAAGCAGTTACCAAACTTAACAGATTCCATAACACAATCATTATCTAGCAAATACTTTAAAAATTACTGTTTTCTAATTTAGAAGAAATGCTTGTGTATGCCTGGACAAAACAAGGATCCATCATTAGGAAGAAGCCATGTGTACATGACTGAAAAGGGGCGACGGGCATGCAAGTACATACAAGCTTCACATGTTTCAGATAATGAAGAAATGTTTCCATCTGATACAAGTGCTTGGAAATGTGTTTACAACCATGAGTACCACATGGAATCATCTGAACAGGGACACTTTCTCATTCTGCCTTGTTCTTAAGCAAATTTTCAGGAAAATCAATCATTTTTAATCATATAGGTTTTGTTCTCTTCTAGTAATGAAAACATTTTGACACTATTCTATTCTTGATTCTATCAAAAAAGGTAGAAAAGAGGTACTGAAAACTTTCAACAGAAAGACTATTCAGTATAGGTGTAACTGCAGCCAGGCAATCCCTAGTTGAAATTCTAACCCAGCACTATCACACAGTTATTTAACTTCTGAATGAACTGCTCCCATGGAAAAGCAAAACGTATTTACTCGGTATGGCTAACGAACGGGTTAAATATAAATAATTTAAATAAATGCAGAGCAAGATTCTTCTCCAGGTACTTTTTTTTAAAAAACCATAGCTATTACAATCATAACCTTAAACTTGATACCCATCCTTTTCACTAAGCAGACTCAAACTTATTCAGAGACTCAAAACAATCACTCCTGCATTCCTTGTAAGTACCATTGTTTCTGAGGTGGAGAGAGAGCTTGGGTCATGATCCTGACTGGACATCCTTGAGGGAGGCCTCCAAAACTTGAATGAGTCATCTAATCCTGTAGCAATGAGAGAACGATTAACGGGGATACTCTCCAGATACTCCAACAACTAACGAAAAGAATATACATTATAGGAAACCAACTACAAACTAAGGAAAGAGGTTTTTCACTGAATTTAAGAATCACTGAGATGTTAGTCATACAATTCCAGATCACTGGTCCCAGGAATTCCAATACTTTAAGCCAGAAAGAAACCACTGAATGCACATTTCTAACAAACACCCAGAAGAAGTCAATGGAAATTGATTTAAGGGCTATGTCATGAGTGACCATGATCCAGAAACATTTAAACAACTGAACTCATCACTTTTCTAAAACATATTTATTTACAATATTCTATAACTTCTTCAAATGCTATTTTCAATTCCTTCAAGAAATGAACAAAAAAGTGGATTACAAATAAGTTCACATTTAAGTAACTGAGTAAAAGAACTCCATGTCTACAATTTACTCTTTATGCAAGAATGTGTGTGTACGTGCATACATGCATGCGTGCATGCATGTGTGTGTGTTTGTGTGTGCGTGTCTATGTATATGTGTGTGTATGCATTTCCATACCGGTATTATTTATACTCATACATATACACATATTAGGTAAGGTAGAGAATAAACTCAGTGAAATGATAATATTTGAAATCTTTGATACTTTTCTTGAACCATTTCTATGTTTTTAGGTTAAGTCTCTAAAAAAATGTATTTAAATATTAAGTTTAAAATAAAAATTATTTTGTTAACATTCATCATAGTGAGAGCTAACTAGTTATGTGTTAAGATTTATTACTTAGCAAATCCAAGAGAATTTACAAAGGCATTTTGATATATGAATGACATACCAAAAGTAAAGAGCTTTTTGATACCAGAAAATTTACCGAGAAAATATTTCATTCAGAAGAAACCAAAAAAACTATAGAGGTCCACAGAATGTTAAAAGGTTTAAGGTATTACTAGAAGTTTAAGGTATTCCTAGATTTTTAAAAAGCCCTAAAACTTTACTGAAGGGCCTAAAAATAACTTATGAAACATTAATAAGTTGTCAAAAGTGGATTTCATGAAGAATTTATAATGCTTAGGTGATGTTCACTAGAGCCAAGAGAGGAATAAAACAATGCACATAAGACACAAGCACAAATATGTAAACAAAAAAACACCATATAAGGAAAAAAGATTATAAGAAACTAACCTATCAAGGGTATTTTCGTAGGACTAGATATGACAGTTAAGTGGAGATAATTTTCCCGTGTACTCTTTGTTGTTTTCCAAATACTCTTTTTCTTAATAAACATAAATATTTTAACATTATTTTTGTGTAAATGTGTATGGTATACACACATGTATGCAGGTTTGTATGAGTGGGAACATGTGAAAGGTGAATGTGCACGGGTGCACATGCATATGTGTGCACTTACGTGTGGAGGTCAAAAATGATGTCATATGTCTTTTTTGATCTCTCTCCAAATTTTATTTCTTGAGGCCGGGTCTCTCATCTGAACCCAGATTCCACCAATTCTCTTAGCCTCACCAGCCAGCTTCTTCCAAGGATCCCAGTCAGACCACTATGACCACCCAGCATTTCCATGGGTACTGGAGAGCCAAGCACCAGTCCTGACACTTGCGCTTTAACCACTTAGTCATCTCCTCAGTCCCTTAGCATCTTTTTAAAGAACTTGTATTGTGGAAAATTAAATATAAAGGTATTGTACTTACCATTTAAGTCACTGCTTTCTGAAATTTCACCAAAAGCAGAAAAACTCAAATCAAACATATACCTCCCTGTATAACAGTGTTTCACCATCTGGGTCAAATGTTCATAGAAATGACAGTGATAGAGAAGAGCCTGAAGTGCAGGTTTTCCTACGAGTGACAGGCCAGAGTCCTCATCATGGACACAGGGACCCTGTGGAAAAGGGAAAGGTGACACTGATTTAGTAAACCACTTTCGCAAAAAGATCTACTGTGTCTTACTACCAAAGTAAATGTGTTCCTGATACTACCATATTCCTTCTAGATACTCTTGCCTAGACTAGAGCCAAGAACACTTTATAACACTGGCCTTTGCTGCCTAAACTTTCCAGATTTCTGAGGTTTCAGTCTGTAATTGGGTAGCTCTGTTGATTTTTAGGTCTGTGGAAAATTAGGAACATTATGAAATAAAGGCACACCAGATGAGAAGCTGCTCACTTCATGGCATCCAGGAAGCAGAAGAAGAGCAAGCATACACACACACACAAAAGCACCCCTCAAACACATGCCTCTCATGGACCTACTCCCTCCAATGAAGTCTCAGCCCTATAGTGCCCAGCACTTCTTCATGGTATCATGAGCTATGGACCATCTAATCAGCACATAGCTCTTGAGGGGCATTTAAAAGCCATAACACACAGAAAAAGGAAAAGCCAAATACATAATTGTTTCAAGATTGAAAACTAGCCAAGGAAGTTTGATAAGAAAAACATTTACAAAGTAACAAAATACCTCCATGCCTAAAGAAAAATGATGGAGAAAACATACTATATATTAACCAAATAATCAATTAACATCACCAATAATGGAAAAGAAATAAATCTGAAATAATGCACTGAAAAATATCACTTCTATGAGTTTTATATAAAAACTGAGTAACCCAAATTCAACATAAGGAAATAGATGAGACTAAGTGAAGAACATTTCAAAAAATAAATTGCATACACTCTTCAAAAATGGTAGATACAGCAGGGTGTGGTGGTGCATGCCTTTAATCCCAGCACTTGGGAGGCAGAGGCAGGCAGATCTCTGTGAGATCAAGACCAGTGTGGTCCACAGAGTAAGTTCCATCCCAGTTGTGGCTATAGGGAGACCCAGTCTCAAAAAGACAATAACAACAACAAAAAAATGTTAGATATAAATGTTGAACATTTAGATATCATTTCAAGGGAAACAACTAAATGCAAAATGTATTTCTAAACTGGATCCAATACTAGGTATTTCTCCATAAAGGAAAGAAGTAAAACAATCCAGGAGAGAAATGCCCCCTTAGAATATGTGTCAGGTGACACTCTGAAATCTACTCTTCAGTTGCTCAGCCTGATTCAGTAAGTAGTAGGGTATATTCTAATGAAAAGTAAAACTAAATCTTAGGTTTATAGAGGATTCTGGGGAGAAATGTGTGACATTATTATAAACATATACTTAAGAGATGAGGAGGTTAAAAGCTTAGAGAACACATCTCACCTCCACAAAACAACACCGCCACATTCTCCAAATTATCTGCTTAAATGTTAACTGTTTACTGACTTGACACTCACAAAACAAAAAAATTTTAGGTATAGACAAAAAAAATTAAAGTATGAACCCAACTGTTCACTTACTCAGAAAAAGAAAATTAAAGATGCATGCATATTTAAATACAACCAAGAGAGGCCATTTAGTGAAGAGGACGAGGAAGAGGCTGTCCACACTCGCAGCACAGCCGTGCCTCTGACTACGTGGCTAAAGCTCATCAACTCTACAACAAAGATAACCATCCACAGCTCCAGTAACAGCACCAGTGAATACATGTGGAGCTTCCACAAGAGTATCTAGTATACACCATGCTAACCAATACTACTTTTCAAAGTATTAAACACTACAGGGCTATATGCATGTCCTCATGTGTGTGCGGAGGTCAGAAGACAACTTAAAGGAGTCGGTTTTCTCTTTGGACCCTTATGTGAGTTCTGGGACTCAAATCCAGGTAGTCAGGCTTGTGTAGCCAGCAAGTGTTCAACCCACTGAGACATCTCAGCAGCCCAGGAGAAGAAATTTTAAATATGATAAAGCATCAGAGAATTTCTACATTCTAATTAAGAGGTCCTTGCTAAATCCCCAAATGTGGAACCCATGGATACAGAGCGAGGGCTAGATGCAGATGCTGAAAATTTAAAACTAATTAATCTCAAATATATGCTAGGCTGACAATTGTTTATACCCACCTGCCAAGTATAATCCTTTATAATTTCTGAAGGCATGGGAATTACAAGGAGATTCTGAAGAATAAATGCAGCCTGAAAATTAAAAAAAAAAAAAAGTCAATACTGCCATCTTGTTGTCATCTTGAAAATAACCAATATATCATAATTAAATAACAGAGGATGGAGCTCTGGTCAATTGCTCATGCTGAGGCACTCTTACAAGAGTTTCTAAAGTGTATTTTTTCTTAGGTGATAACTGAATTAAGTGATAAGTAAATAATGAAACTATTTCATTAGGAAATATGTTTTTCATGATTTCAAAGTTTAGTTTTATACAAAAAAAAACTAGTATAAAGCATTGTAGAAGCATTTAAGAAGTACAAAACAATGTCTTTCTCATCCCTTTGTGGGTTGTACACACAGACACCACACACTTGTCTTCTCCCCCCATTCCTTTATCCTTCTCTCATACACAGTCTTCTTAATAAGTTAAATACAAATGTCTAACCTAACCTGCCAGAACCTAAAGGTGATAGAATGAAGCAATCAAACTAAATAAACACTGAGTTTCTATACAATGAAAGATTATGCCTCAATCACACTGGGAGGAAAACAGGAGTACAAGAAATCTAAGGGAGTGAAATTTCCAACCACCTTCACTAGAAGTCAATTAAAAAGTTTTAAAAGTAATGAATCAAGAAAAGGAGGTAACTGTAGGAACTACCATTTGCAATTATGAAAGCAACTAATAAGAACACTAGTGTTTTGAGTTCACCACTAAGATTGGTTACTAGTGGGAGTGGGCCTGGATCTGAAGCTATCTTCAGAAGCCTCTGAGAAGGTCTCTTTTATGGTTTTTTTTTTTTTTTTTTTTTTTTTTTAAAAAAAAAAAGGGTCTTTCATAACCCCAGCTGGTCTGGAACTTACTATGTAGATCAGGCTGGCCTCCATCTCACAGAGATCCACCTGTCTTTGCCTCCCAAGTGCTGGAATTAAAGGTGTATGTCACCATGCCAGAAGTTCTCGCTTTTAAAACTATGAGTATGAATCATCACTTTGACAAAAGCAGCAATAAAAAGAAAACCACATGTTGGAGCTGATATAATGGTTCAATGGGTAGAGGCACTTCTGGGCAGGCCCAATAAACCAAGTTAGATCCCTAATGCTACAAGGTGGCAAGAAAGAATGAACTCTGGAGAGGGAGAGTCATTTTCTGACCTTCGGGGGCACACACACACACACACACACACACAATAAATAAATATTTTTAAAATTAGGATTTAATTTTCTTATCAAATATTGTTTGATATGTACTGTAAAATGACGTTACTTTGAATGTTCTTTATTATTATCAAAACTGTAAATGTTAAAGATCCATTACATGCTGAGGTAAAAGTGATTGTTTTCTGGGAATTACCCTCCAACGTGTAATAAAAAAGTTCACATTAAAATATATAATATTCTGGAGCAGTAAAATGGCTTATCATATAAAGACATTTGCTGCCAAGCCAGATGATCTGAGTTCAGTTTCTAGAACCTACAAGGTAGAAGGAGAGAACTGACTCTCCTAAGTTGTCCTCTGACCTCCACTTGTGTGTCATGGCATATGTTTCTACACACATACACAAACATGTATGCACCCAAAATAAGTAAAGAAAAATGTGATCGAAAAGTAAAAATATATTTTGCTTTAATCTTATCAAAATAAGTTACCTGCATTTTCACTGTAAATTAACTTTTTATCTAGGCTTTTTGAAAGCAAAAGCAATAATGGTCCATGCCCAATTTATACCACTGAACAGAGCTGAGTGAGGCTTGTAGACACTCTTACAATGCATTTCTGTGGCAAAAGAAAAAAGAAAAAAAAAAAAAAAAAAAAGGGAAGAAAAAAGTTATCAAAATAAGTTACCTGCATTTTCACTGTAAATTAACTTTTTATCTAGGCTTTTTGAAAGCAAAAGCAATAATGGTCCATGCCCAATTTATACCACTGAACAGAGCTGAGTGAGGCTTGTAGACACTCTTACAATGCATTTCTGTGGCAAAAGAAAAAAAAAAAAAAAAAAAAAAGAACAGGGTACGAAAAAGAAACGTACCTCCCGGCGCACCATGCTACATTCTGACTGATCCAGAAGAATGTTCACCACAGTTCTC